ACGTAAACTAAAGCATTCATTTTTTCAGCTTATTTTGATTGAAAAAAGCATGGCAGTCGAGAGCACATGGATCGTGCAGAAAATACAGGAAAATACTACCTAGGCATACACGGCCTGAGATTTGTTGTCCCAGGTTTCATTCAATCACCAGTGGACACGCAGGCTTGTGTTCTTTAATAGGATCCAGCTTGTCACAGACATGGTTTTACTATCTTATTTCAGCGAACTTCATGCTTGTACCAGGCGTTTTTTTTTTTTTTTGATGGGCTAAAGAATAGAGGAACGACATGACATCCATCCAACCATCATACGGATTTGGACAAGCTGGATCACAAAGCTGATCGCCGGACTTCGAATAGTGCCAAATCATCGGCACTTCCAGTTGCGAATTCATCATACGGTTGTAACTAGAAAATTTGCGCAACCGCAGTTTAAGCCAATCATTCATGCTTGCGGGCGATCGAGAAAACGATTTCGAGACGCGCAGTTTGCGCATCACGATAACAACATGGTCGATGAGATATCCTCATTTTGCACTCGAACAAATGCTTCAACCCAGACTACTCAGTGAGCTCGCAGCCGAAAAATCTCACAAACTGTTCCCGCTCTTTATACTTAGCGCACGTGGATCGGATCTGTTAGATGATTGTCTTCAACTCGATGTTCTGATTTTACAGAGATTAGGTGACACGTTCACGGCAAATCCATAACATGCTGACAATCCAGCAGCTAGAAAATAAGATAAATAAGAAAAGGAAATCACGAGTAAGGTGCAATTGGTATTGTAACTTACTGTGCGGGCCAAAAGCTTCCATAATTTCGGCTGTTGACAACAAATACGTCAATTAAACTGATTGGATTGGTGCTACCACACCGGTGGTTAGTATCTGGATTACCGACCATAACACTACGAAATGATTGCACTAAGCTGGCAAGAAGTACCCTCTCTGTTTTTATATCAGGTGGATTTTGATCTGCTCCCCGTGCCTGGTAACTGACTTGCAAACGTTTCACAACCATACCACGGACATTCTCAGTGCACAGTTTGGTGGGTACTTCATATTTGCCTCAGTGCATTTATTAGGTACTCGAAGGCATTTGGTGGATTTTCTGGTCCGTTTGCCATCTTTGTTGCATTGTGGTTTGCGTTTCTTCACGTGGACTGGTCACCCCGATCAATTCTCCGCTGATGATCCATGACGATCTANAATATGGTTACCAGGAACATGTGTAACTTTCCTGAGAAAGCTGACGGCAAAACTCGCCCCCCTTAATTTATTAGCAACCATTCGGCATTACACATGTTTAATTCCGTGTGGTGATGGAAGGTATGAAATATATGGAACCGTAGAATACTTCGCGATAGAAAGCGGGTGAAGACAATTAAGTTCAAGAACCATCAGTGTAACCGCCAGAAAGGGGCATGTCATCCGGTTACAGGAGCAACATTAGAGTTTCCGGTCAGTTGTGACTGAAGAGTATACCCTTGTTTCTATAACTTATCACAAATTTGGCAAAAAGCCCCATGAAGTGATCCTTCTAAACTGAGGATGCATTTCGGGACAGGGTTGCGGTGGTAGTTTCGGAACTCGTTCACTTTAATACGTTCCTTTTGAACGATTGTCCAAAAATTCGTTGCTAAGAGTTACGCGGCAAAAATAAGTTTGCCAAACGGGGGATGCCTGCCATGAAGTAGAACTTTCCCAGTCGAAAGTAAGCGATGATTGTTCGCCCTGGCTAATAATTTCAGAATTGTGGATGTCGCATTGGACAGTCAGGGAATCCGTCACAATGGATAAGTTGGGCAGCTGAAATTATTATGATGAATGAAAAGCCAACCCATATATTCCTATGAACCGATTGCTTGCCGGCTGGAAAAACGGTAATCAACGTAATTCAAAGCATAAATTTTCTGACCATTTACACACTTACCACGTGCGATTCAACGAACACCAGCCAATAGATACCTGGAAAGATGAGCGATTATTAGGAAACCACCAAAGATTGCAATTTTCGCAACATTCATAGGAGTCACATGATCGATAAAACAAGCAACACTATTCATTTTTGTTCAGCATATGTTAATTGGAAATAAGCATGGCTGTCGGGAGCACATTGATGGTGCAGAAAATACAGGAATATACTACCCAGGCATACACAGCCTGAGATTTGTTGCCACATGTTTCACTCAATCACCAGTGGGCACGTAGGGCTTGTGTTCTCCAGAAGGATCCAGCTTGTCACAGTTATGGTTATACTTTCTTATGTCAGCGATCTTCATGCATGTACTAGGCGTGTTTATTTTGTTTAGATGGCCTAAGGGATAGATGAATACGACATGACATCCATCAAACCATCATGCGGATCTTGTAGCCGAAGAATCTCACAAAATGTTCCCGCTTATTTACACTTGGCGCACGTGGATCGGATCTGCTCGATGCTTTTCCTCAACTCGATGTTCTGGTTTTACAAAATTAAGTGATACGTTCACGACAGATCCATATCGTCCACCTGGATCGATTGGAACGACTCATCTTTCACGATGAAATTTTCTAACAGGGCAATAATTTCTTCTCATTCGGACTATAATCCGTGGACACAAGTCCCAACACACGCTCAGGCACTTCTGACAAAGACATCAATACCCAGTAGGTTTAACTACGGACTGATCGATCAGCACCTAGAAATTCAGACTAATAACCAATAAGGTCAACTGTATGGTGCATGGTATGTGAATAAATATTGGAACTTAGTGTGCGGGCCAAATGCTGTCATAACTTTGGCTGTAGACAACGAATGCTTGAATTAAGCTGATTTGATTGGTGCGAACGAACCGGTGGCCTGCATCTGAAATACCGACCTTAGCACTTCGGACTTGTAGTAGGCCAGCAGGATATCTCTTCCCTGCGAGTTGTTGATTAGGTTGCTGCTGTCACGTTTGCCCAGCTTCTCACTTGACTTAGAAGCTTTTCGTCACCACAGGAGAGAACATCATCACTGCGTGGCTTGTAAGGTATTCAATACTGTCTGTATCTCCTTAAGCTGTCGGTTTTCTCCTGACGTAATTGGTTTGTTGGGTGACAGCGTCTCTGTTGAATTTACTGGTCCGTTCGCTATCTTTTTTGCATTGAGGTTTGCGTTTCTTCAAGTGAACTGGTCATCCCGAGCACTTCTGTTTCAGTAGTCTTCTGCATTTCGATTCGCATTGACGAAACATTTGCGGGCCAATTGCCAATTTCGGCGGTGACCAATAACCAATAAACCCACCCGGGCTACTAACATTTCGACGCATTCACTTCCCTATCTACATTTATTATTTTCCTCATAATAAGGCTTTCAAATAAATCATGGTTGCACGGCAGTGAAGCATTGGTTTTGAACACTGATATCATGATGCCGATGATGATGATGATGCGGTGGTAAGACATTTTTGCACATTTGGAATCACAGAGCACGTGCACAAGTACGCACACAATCACGCTGTGCATCAAAGAGCAAGCAAAACCGGTCATATCTCATGCCATTTTAGAAAAAACAGCTGGTACTCTGATACCAAACGTGGTAGCTAACCTGTTGAACGGGCGTGGCCAAGCCTTACATACAGAAGGTGATGACTTATCGAAAGAAATGTGTCATCTTTCCCGGCGGCCAGATTTGTTTGTCTTGCAAGAGATGCTTACGCGGCGAGTGCATTTATTTTGATATCTTTGCTCTAGTGACTAAGCGCAGTTTTGTGTGTCTGAGTTGGGTCTATATTTTGCGACATTTAAAAACATTGGCAACCATATCTGACGCACCACAAAACATCCCCAAATCACAAGGTTCAGCAGAAACTTTTCATGAATACAATCGTAATGTATTTACTGGCTTTAATCGGTCCGCACTAATTTCCTTCAAACAATCTCGTGTGTGCCCTGGCTTCGATGGAAGAAACCCCTCTAGCAGTATATTTTAGAAAATTTCACTTACAAATATTTCCGTTTAGCTTCCTTCTCGGCAGATAATCTATGGCTATTGACGTTTCATGATTGCATGTGAACTGATTTTTTGAAGTACATTTGAGGCAACGCAAATGGGAGAAAAGGAAGTCATGCGGACGAACACCTTTATTCAGGTGGCAAGAATGTGGCTAGTCTGAACGTAATGAAACGGGAATTCGCGTTGCAGTATTTTTCTTAGGTTTGTCAACAAATTTGTACTCCATTTCGTTTAGTCATATACCAACTAGTTAGACCGAATGTCAGCTGTGCTTGTTCTCTCTGAAATATTTCGCAAATTGTTAAGCTGATTCTTCTAGTCTAAGGAGTGGAAATCTTACGATTTGTCATTTGACTAATTAATATCAGTTTTGTTTGAAAAATGTGCCCGAACTCGCGGTTCAAGCAACTTTGGATTGCTGAATATATGGCAACGGTTGGAATCTTTCGCTGCAAACATCGAAATATAAGTGTTTATGGGCGCACCTTTAAGTTTGCTCAATAAGTCACCGCCCAAACCTACGAAAATTAACACACGTCCGACGATCTCGGCAAACTAGTTCAATCAGGTTGACATAACAAGCGATAAAGGCTTCACGATAAATGAGAAACATCGCATTGAAGTTTATGTTACATGGATCAGTAGCGAACTGCAACAATTTCGCTCAAGTAAATGTCACGCTAAAAATTTTGAAACGCGTCGGTAACAACAAAATGGGTGTAAGCCGACCCCAGTTTTTCTACAACTCTTTTACTGGGTTTGACAACCTGCCGACCGATACACTCTCCCTCTGCACCCAAACTCAATTTTGCAGGATTTATCGAATATTTCAACAGCTGAAAAAGAAGCTACCTGGCGTGACACGTTCAGTGGGAGTGGATAACCACAAACGAGAAATTCAGCTGAATTCAGTTGAATCTTCACTCAAAATTGAAGTTTCGTCCAAACCATTTGAAGTATACAACGGTTACCGGTAACCGTAACCGATCTCATAGAAACTCATGTGTGCAGTGCTTACAAAGGGACTGGGCTCAATCGCGAACTGGTGGTTCGCGTTCCTCTGCGACCTGAATTGCATTTGAAATGGGAGTCCATTTAGCCGCCCACAAGATATATCGTACCGAGTTGCTCAGTGAATAGTGGTCTGACGAACACAGACTCCTAGTCTACCAGGTTGCATCAATCTAAGTGAGTTGTTTCCTTAAGGCACCAGTATATGTGTAGTAGTGCGTTAGAACTCACCTGCTCACTTGCGGTCAGGATTTCGAGCCATGTAGAATGGGTGCCCTGACATTAGACAACCCTCGTATACAATTTTGTACGTCAGAACAAAAACTAGTATCATGTCACATTCCGTGTAATCAGCCTGGTCGCATTGTTGTTTCATAGAGAAACTCGGCTAAATGAAACCATGCTCCAGCTAATGTCTTTCTTTCACACTCTTTTTAGTCTTCTCAACCCTACCCCAAACGATTTGAATATCCTTTTCAGAGGTTCCAGTATTAGGACTAACCGCTTTGTTTGGCATGCGTTTTGCTCAGTTGCAGCTTGGCGCATTCAGGTTTACAGCAAATTTTGATTACCTGGAACTTTGTTTTCAGGCTACGAAACTAGTTTTCATAACTACTCTTATTATTCGTACGCGAAAACTAGCTCTTTCAGCCACACTATAGTCCCTATCCATTGGTGCGTGATATCTGTTCGAAAAAGATCAAATGCTCAAGTTGTGTAGCTGAAATGACCACCCTCTAGCTTTTTTTTCGTTTTCAGCCACGCAAGTCGGCTGACATGAAGGCCAATACAAAGGGATATGCCGGCAAATCTAACGTTTGGATGCATCGGGCAGGGGCTTCTTCACTCAAATGCATACTCGCTGATAGTCGTACCCGCGAGGATCGTTTGGCAACTCCAATGTAAGGACTGGGAATGCAAGGCGGTTTATTCGCTGTCTATTTACTTGCCTCCGACGGTCAACAACCTTGAAACCGCCAACGGCAGTTATTATGAGGCTCCAGGTGCTCTTCTGAAATGGCCTAGCAGCCCACACCTCATTGTGTTTGCTGCTCAATCGACATCCTTGGTGCGTTTGAGGCCCAGTTAGGCGGCTATTCGAGATGGTCGCGAGACGCACGACATAGGGAGTTCACCCGCTTCAGATTCACGCCGATGACAGCCTGTTTCTTTGCAGTGTCCGTTTCCGGAAGAGCGCCTTAAGGCCCACAAACGAACCAGCCACATTACCACATCCTCATCACTTAAGGCTGGCGAAGTTCGATTGCTGCCTGTCACTCGCCCTGAAATATTCGCGTGATATGAATTGATAATTCCGTTGACAAATTTGTCCGCGCTTTTCAAGCCTACACAAAAGTCGAATACATCGTTTCGTCAGACGGAACAGACTGTTCGCGCGTACCAGTAAGGCTGGAGTATTATAAAACTCGAAGAATCGGTCGATGCAAAAACTTCAGGAACCTTCCGTAGACTGTTTAACTGCATTCGCCGGACTGCCCATTAGAAGCCTCGTGTCGGTGAAACTAGTATGGGAATGAATGGCTCTCTGATTTTCAACAAAAAGGATTGTTTGGATCATGGGGCACTGTAATTCAGACAAGGATGCAGCTGACTATCTGCTAAACTCACTTCCAAATGGAAGTTAATTGCGCGTGTGAAGCTACAGCAAAGTCGGAGTGGTCTGAGTGTATATCTCTTCATACTACTTTATGCTCCTTGTCTAAGAGATCTTTAATCTCAGGAATCGAACACTGAGTTGACTTAAAAATTTGAATGGCCAATTAATTGCTAGCGGGTTCCCAGACAACATCGTCATCACCTTCAAGGACGAATACAGAACCCAAATTTGCTGAATAAACTGAACATTAATTTGTTCAATGTTTCGACGTGTGAGTTGGAATTACGTCGTGGATCTTTCTGATTGATGGCGTGCAGAGCCTGGGAATGCTCCTTGGAATTTTGTCCACCTCGGCAGATG